ATTTGTGGCATTTCAAATCTTTATAAATCCTTTGCCCCGCATACTGTAAATCAACAACTGTTTGTTTCAAAACAAAATTATTCATTTTACGAGTAGATAAAGGCAATTTTGGTATATAAAGATGCCCAAACAGTTAAATAGTCGGTGTAAGGAACTCGTGGCCTCGTTAATGCACTACTTGGAGCAAGAAAGGGACAACAACGGGCCTTTGTTGCCTTTAAATGCTGTTCAAGAGGTAGGTTACTAATAATTATATGTAATGTATATTAATAATAGTGAAATTTTATTTCATTTTTTGTAGCGTGTTGCTGCTGCTTTAAAAATTAGTTTAAGGACAGTTAGTCGTATTTCCGAGGGTGTGAAAAGTGATGCAAGTTTAGAATCGCCCAAGAAAAAGCGGAGTTATATTAAACGTGTAACCAACACAGCGACATTGGATACAAGTGCCATTCGAGAAGTGATCTATAATATGTATCACAAAAGTAAGATCTTATTATAATAACTTATCAGAAATTTGCATTAATTTGTTAACTAAATTATAATGTCATATTACACATGGTTTCAGAAGAACAAGTTACGATACAAACTTTATGGTCTCGATTAAGAGATAGGGCATTATTTGATGGTAGTGCCACGTCTTTAAGGCGGTTGCTTAGAGATCTTGGATTTAAGTGGCTTAAGGACAATCCGCGACGAGGGCTCATGGAACTACCAAGTATAGCTTTGAAAAGGGTGGAATTTCTAAGGCAATACAATCAAGCCAAGGTTGAGGCCTTATACCAGTTTGTCTTCCTCGATGAAACTTGGATATTTCAAAATGGGACCATAGGTCGCTCTTGGCAAAATGGAAACCAAAAAAGCGTGAAAGCTATTAAACAGATGGTAAAAGGTATGTACTTTTACACAATTTGCACTATAAATTTAAAACTAATATATTTTAGATACATTATATTACATGCTGGAAATGAAAATGGGTTTATTGAGGGTAGTGAAGCGATATTTTCTTCGAAAACAAAATTGAGCGATTACCATGGAGAGATGAACCAGGACAATTTTTGAAATGGTTTCAACATCAGTTATAGAAAAATGGAGAGTCCATCTATGATTATACTGGATAACGCCCCTTATCACAGCATGATATTGAACAAAGTGCCCAACAATGCATGGACAAAAAAAATATCCAAGACTGGTTGACAAATCAAAACATACCATTTTTAAACACAATGTTTAAACAGAGCTATTGAGTATTGTTGCTCGGTACATAATGCTTCTTAATTATATATATTTTGGTCGACAGTTTATATTTCTTTTGTTTATTCCTATTCTTAAAATAACTGCTTTTTTAGAAACAAACCACCTAAAATATACGTGATTGATGAATTGGCGGAACAACATGGGCACAAAGTTCTTCGTCTGCCTCCTTACCATTGTATATTTAACCCTATTGAGTTAATTTGGGGCATAGCAAAAGGTTACTATAACAGACATATTGGTAGAGATGGTAACAGTGAAAAAGACTGTTTGGATATGTGGAACGAGGCTCTACAAACGGTTACCCCAGACATGTGGAAAAAATAGTGTTCGACATACTGAGCAAGAAATTTTTAAATGGTATGAAAGAGAACGAATTTTTGATCGACCAGACATCGAACCTTTAATAATCAACTTTGAGAGTGATGAAGATTCAGATTCAGACAGCGCTGAAGAAAGAAACTCCGACTAACTTTATTGTACAGAAAAAAGCTTACACCAGTAGCTTACCTAATTTTAGAATGCATTTTTCTGTATGAATTCTGTAAAATAAATACCATGCATAAAATTTGGAGGACCCCATTTGGATTTTTATTCAGTACCTTTAAGCTATTAATTAAATATGGTAGTTTCATAGTGTCATCTGATCAATAATTGTCATACTTAATGATTATGCAAGTACAGATCTATAATTTTATTATACTATTATTTTTTGTTCTCATTTGAGGTTAATATTGCTTATAACCTAGATATGTAAATAATAAATTTTATTATTTTACAAAAAGTTTGGCACAATGTAAATTTTTCAACACACCCACCTTGATGACGTGCACGCCACTTTGTTGGCGTTGACTATAGTTATAGTGTCCTTGATATTCAAGCTCTCGGTATACGCAACTGAGTTCGATGAGCGCACAATATGATGTATGATTTAATGCCTTTTAAGTGCGTTCTGTGTAATGCCGTGTTCGAGGACTTCGAAAAATTTGCCTCTGACTGTCATACTGCTTTCACTTCTTCATGAAGAGTCCATTCCTTTGGTAAACGTTATTTGTAGTTGGAAGAGTGCACCGTAACTAAGAAAGTTGTAGGGACCACTGGATTGTTCTGCTGCTGGCCGACAAAAAGCGTTTCGTTTCCTGCCCGTGGATTGCTCCCTGTCTCTTTCCCCCTTTTTTTGTAGCTCATTTACATTTTTGTGGGTGAATCGGAATGTGAAATTTATGGGGTACATGAGTGCTTATTCTTCAGGTGGTCGTTTAAATGTACACACTGCTTTGAGGGATGAGGGATTATTGAATCTTGCTCAGTTTTAGAGAACTTCATAGCATTCATGCAGAAAATCTGCCAGTGTTTAAACTATCACCAAGGAGAAAGTATATCAAGAGACGACAATGGAACGAAGTTTTGACAGTCTTTGTCATTTCAAATTGGTTTCGTACTGGTTACCTATACCAGCCAACACGAGTGGTTGGCATCATCAGAAGATGATCACAGTTCGGAGTCCTGTGTGCTACTGGTATAACTACAATTTACAAAAAACAAAAAAAAACAGAGCCTTCCCCTTTTTAGTTTCTTTGGCTTTGTCTTCTCTTTTTCGAAAATTAATCATAGCAGTACGAGAAGAGAGAACGGAACGAACGAAAATAAATATCCCATTGACCGTTTTTATTAAAAGAAGAAACGCCCCGTATAATTTGAGAACAAGCTTGGCATGTTGTTCGCTCCACTTGATATTAAAACACGTTGCTTTTCCGTAATAGACTGACTTTTATTTTATACATGACAGTTGACCGTGCTACACATAGTTACACACAGTACAACCTAGATGGCGTTACTTCACACATTTTGATTTATATTGTTATCTATTCCAATACCCCCACATAACAAAATAAATGTGAATTTCTAAACAAAATACATGTTTTACTTATTTAGCCTTTAATCCCAACATGTCCATGAACTTATAATGCTTAGTCGACAAAAGACCTTTGGTTAACAAGTCAGCGGGCATTTCTTGAGTTGAAATGTATTCAATATTAATTAATTTATTTTTAACTGCATCTCTAACATAATGAAAGCGAACATCAATATGTTTTGACCTAGCATGTGCCTGATGACTTGTTGCCAATTTTAATGCACTTTGATTATCACATTTCAATTTAATAATCCCTCTTTTACCAATAAGTTCATACATTAAATTTCTTAAGTAAACAGCCTCCCTAGATGCCTCTGAGAGAGCAACATATTCTGCCTCAGTGCTGGATAAGGAGACAGTCTTTTGTTTTTTGCTTTGCCAGGAAAATCACAGAAACCGCTCATTACAAAACAAAACCCAGTATAAGACTTACGATCTAGACTATCGCTAGCCCAGTCTGCATCAACAAAACCAGTCAGTTCTACATTATCCTTCTGATATGTTTAAACAATAATGTTTGGTTTTCTGTAAATATCTTAATATTCGTTTAGCATAGCTAAAATGAGTTTCATTATAACAGTTATTGAACTGGCTGAGGTAACTAAGAGTATATGACAAATCTGGCCTAGTTAAAACTGCCAAATACATAAGACTTCCAATGAGCTTTTGATATGGAATGTTCACTGCACAATTTTCAGCCCTTTTCTATGTTTAACTTGCTTTCAATCGGAGTATCTATCGTTTTACAATTAGACATATCAAACTTTGACAATAATTTCTTCTATATATTCCTGCTGATCTACACTTATAGTCTTACATTCTTTGTTTACAATAATCCGCATGCATAAGTAACGTCTAACAAGACCTAAATCTTTCAATTTGAATTCAGATCTTAAGTCATTTATCAATTTTTCAGTCTCAGAAGTACTATTTGAAAAAATTAAAAAATCGTCAACATAGACAGCTACTATAATCTTGACATTCCCACAAAAAAATGTAAACAAGCATGGTTCAAATTTACTCAATTTAAAATCAAGTTTAAGCAAACAATCTTTCACTTTTTCATACCAGACCAAAGAAGACTGTTTTAATCCATAAATAGCTCTTTTAGTTTCAAGATCTTACCTGTTTGCTTATTTACAAATCCTTCCGGAAATGACATATAAATATTTTCTTTTAAATGCCCATTTAAAAATGCTGTAGTAACATCTAGATGTCTAATGTCCATATCCCACTGTACACTTAGAGCAAACAACATTCTCAGTGTAGAATGTTTAACAACAGGAGAAAAAGTGTTCTCATAATCAACTCCACGTCGCTGTGAAAAACCCTTAGCCACAAGTCGCGCACGATACCGCACTTTTTCATTCACATCTAGTTTTTTATTTAAGACCCACTTGTTTTGCACAATTGATGCATCACTTGGTATATCAACAATATCCCATGCATTGTTGTCCTCGAATGACCGAAGTTCCTCTCGTATGGCCTCTCTCCACTGATCAGCTTCTGGTCCATTCAGTGCTTCATAAAAATCTATTTGTTCGGCTTCTGAACAAGAATTAGTAGTACACATGTTACCAAACCCAAAACGATCTGGTGGTCTTCGTGTTCTCTTATCTTCTTCTTGTAATGCCGCTATATCTTGAATCTCACTAAGCGAGACATCTGTATCTGTGTTTGTGGTCATTGTATCATCATTACTGCCACTAGACGGATCAGTATATACAGATGTATGCGGAATCTGAGTCATGGAGAGATTCATTCACTGAAGGCTCCCCCACTGAATCTCTGCCATCTTTAATTGTAGGAGATTCATGATCTTCAATTTCTACATCATTCTGTATCCATTCTGCTGTGTCTTCTTCAATCTTTTCTGATGATACTTTCTTTTCTTCCATCACTATTATATCTCTCTTAATAGTTATAATATTTGTTATAGGATAATATACACGATATCCCTTCACTGTCTCTGAAAATCCCACAAGAATGTTCATTTGGGCTTTCTTGTCCCATTTAATCTTCTTTCTTTTGGTATGTGTTACGAAAAATATTACATCGAGTCCAAGGACGGCAACGTCGGAAGACTAGATAATATATCCACAAACTTGTATGATACGAAAAAAAGCATGTAAACACTAAACGGACAGAATAATCGAGCGTTGTTACCGGGCAGGTAGTTTTATTGAGAGCTCCGAAAAACATCGTGTCGTGTGAGAAAAACGTAATATTTCAGAAGGTGGGATAGAACTTACTGAATATTGATTAGTTGTGACGGGTTAATAAGTTATCGTGTTGCTAAGTACTGTGTATAGACTTAGTGCAAGATGAGGTGACACTTCAAGTGAGGATGATAATGAACAATCTGGACTTTATGTGTGTGCTCCAACAAAAAAACGGAAGATCGAGAAAACAGTTGACAAGCTTGTGGCAAAAAAAGTGAGTAAGATTTTGAGTCAACGTAATTTCATACAGAGCACTGATTCAAAATACACCGGGAAAGCAGATTTGATACCAGAGTTTGATCCGGAAAAATCAGAGATCACTGCCATAAATTGGTTACATAAGATTGAACAAATTGGAATGATTAATAGTTGGAGCGATGAACAAAAATCATTATGCATGCAGTCTCGCCTTACAGGATTGGCAAAAGTTTGGTATAACGGGCTAACAGACTACAACTTGAATTGGACGAGTGGAAATTGGCCATCTCACGTGCCTTCCCTGCACATACAGACTACGTCAACTTGCTAAAAAAAATGTTGGCGCGAAGTAAGAAGTAATGATGAGAGCATGATGCATTATTTTTATTCGAAGAACATGCTGGTAAAAAAATGTGGACTAGTGGGGACTAATGCAGTTTCTTGCATAATTGATGATTACCCATACCACTGCAAGCTAACGCAAAAGCTGGGAACTATGAATCACCAGACGAGCTGTTCTACGGGTTCCTTAGCAAAGTAGCGAGTTTTCGCGAGTCGCCAGCTAAGAGAATGGGTACCACAGAAAATTTTGATCTACAACCTAGTACATCTGGACAATTGACATTTAGGTGTATCTTATGCAAGAAAGTAGGGCATAAAGCCCGACATTGTTTACTTAGAAGATCGAATCAGGCGACTAGTAGCAGTACTCCAAGGAGCAGTGATCAAGGTATCCGTTGTCCTCGTTGCGGAAAGAAGGGGCACACGGAGCAGCTGTGTTGGTCCAGAGTCAAGCCGACATGTTCGAGTTGCGGTAAAATGGGACATAAGGACCAGGACTGTTGGAAAAGACCGAGTTTGACATCGACCTGCACCACCTGCGGGAAAAGAGGACACCTAGCTGAAAACTGCTGGACTAAGGAACGGGGGAAGCCTAAGGATGTCAGAATTTTACAAAGGCAAGTGCCCAATTCTTTCTATAATATAGCCATAGAAATTAATGGTCAACATTTCAATGGGTATATTGATACTGGTAGTCAATTGAATGTTGCTAATATTAGGGTAGCCAATAAACTCAATTTAAAATTGTATCCGACTGATATAATACTGAGGAATTTCAGTGGCTCCCACATAGTGCCAGAAGGAACCAGTCAGGTAGAGATATCTATGGCAAGATTTTTATGACTACGTCTTTGGTATTTGTAAATGGTTGAAATGTCCTCAGTTGATGTTATTATTGGACAACCAATTATAAATAGCGAAAAGGTGACTTTGAATGTTACAGGTGGTCATATACAATTAAAACCAGCTGAAGATAATTTGTTAGAAATGTTTAGTTTCCTAGATAATATAGAAAAATTGCCTATTGAAGTTTTCGAACATGTACATATTCCTGCTCTAAGTTCTAAGAGAATATTGGTTGCTTTAGATAATACCCACGATATTGTTATTATAAGTGGTCAGCTGTTTACTGGTTCCCAAAATTGTTCTATACAAGGTTGTATTATTAGTGGACCAGTTCAAACGTTAAATGTCATAAATTGGGGTAATAAACCTATATGTTGGGACAAAGGACAAATTTTAACAAAGGGGTTCAAGCTAAGTTCCTCGACTAAATTTCCAGTCATAGAAGAAGGCAATGTACTAAGCACTCTATCGTTACAAATGGATAACATAATTTGTGGAAATTTATCAGAAAATGATAGAAATAAGTTGTATGATCTTTTACATAGCTTCAGCAAATGTTTTTGCAACTGATACTCTCGAGTTAGGTAATAGTAAATCAGTAGAAGTGAAAATAGATTTGTTATCTGACAAACCAATCGTTCATAGGCCCTACCGCTTGTCTGAATTTGAAAGGGGGATCGTCCGAGATAAAATTAGTGACCCTCTTGGAAGGAGGTATTATTAGAGAATCATCATCTAACTACTCTAGTCCAATCGTTCTTGTAAAAAAGAAGACCGGAGATTACCGTTTATGCGTGGACTATAGAAAATTAATTCTATCATGGTGAAGAATAATTATCCACTGCCACACATAGAAGATTTGATATCCAGGCTACAAAACAAAAAGTATTTTTGCAGTTTAGATATGGCCCAAGGATATTATCAAGTGCCTGTGGCATCTGATTCCATTAATAAAACTGCCTTTGTAACGCCTGACGGTCAGTATGAATTTTTAAGAATGCCTTTTGGGATCGCTAATGCTCCCGGCACATTTCAAAAAATGGTAAATAATGTATTGGGAAATTTGAGATATGATACGGTCGCTGTTTATCTCGACGACATACTGATCCCGTCAGACACTGTGGAACAGGGATTGCAAGTTTTACGACAAGTTCTTGAATTATTTGCCAAAGCCAATTTAAAATTGAATATAGATAAGTGCTCATTTTTCCAGACACAAATAGATTTCCTTGGATATGAGATTTCGGAACTAGGAATAAGACCTGGTGATCGAAAAGTTAGAGCAGTAGCAGACTTCAAAGATCCAACAAATATACATGAGCTACGGCAGTTTTTGGGACTCAGTTCCTATTTCCGTAAGTTTATAAAAGATCATGCAAAAATTGTCGCTCCACTTACAACATTGTTACGAAAAAATGTGCCGTGGTCTTGGGAAAGTGAGCACAAATAAGCTGTTAGTAAAATTAAGGATATACTTATAAATAAACCTATTCTCAAATTTATGACCCTGAAGCAAAGACTGAACTACATACAGACGCATGTAGCAAGGGCATTGGAAGTATGCTCCTACAGTATGAGGGAGCTACGTTAAAACCGGTATATTACTTTAGCCGATCAACATCTCGTGATGAAAAATTATATCATTCATACGAGTTAGAGACCTTAGCTGTTTGTTGAGGTCAATCAAAAGATTTAGGGTCTATTTGACAGGGATACATTTTAAAATAGTCACAGATTGTAGTGCAGTTAGGGGTACTTTTGAGAAAAAAGATTTGCTACCTAGGGTTGCACGATGGTGGTTGAGTATCCAAGATTTCGATTTCGAAATAGAACACCGTCCGGGTGATAAAATGAAACATGTGGATGCTCTAAGTAGAAATCCAGTGGGCGATGTACTTATTATGGACGCGTCTGATTGGGTTTTAGCATTACAAACAGCAAGATGAAAGTATACGGATAATAAAAGAAAAGTTAGCCGCAGCAAATGACAAGGACATTTTAAATAACTATAAAATAAGGGATCATAAATTGTATCGTAAGACGTTGGATGGTAAGCTTAAGCTGGTTGTTCCAAAGTCTGCGCGATTTAACATATTGCGGAAATATCATGATGATATCGGCCATGTAGGACTAAAACGATGCGAGGCAATTATCAAGGACAAATTTTGGTTCAAAAATATGACTAGATTTATAAAAAATACGTAACTGCGTGCCTAGATTGTCAGTATAAAAGGGGACAATATGGAAAACAACAAGGACAACTCTTTCCCATAAGTAAGCCGTGCAAACCGCTTCATACATGGCATATTGACCATTTAGGCCCATTTGTTAAAAGTGATAGGGGAAATTCATATATTCTCATGATAATTGATTCATTCGCTAAATTTGTATTTGCTAGACCGACAAAAACTACAAGGCTAAAGAGGTTAATGAACATTTAGACGATTATTTAGTATGTTCGGGACTCCCAAAAGAATAATTTCAGATCGTGGAAAAGCTTTCACTAGTAAAGCGTTCAAATTATTTTTAAGCCAGTTATCAAGTTAAACATATTTTAAACGCTATAGCATGTCCAAGAGCAAATGGGCAAATCGAAAGGTATAATCGAACAATATTAAACGGGATAAATACGTCTATAGAAAATGAAAGTGATTGGCAGAGAGCTCTTCCTAAAGCTTTATGGGGTATTAATAATACAGTGAAACGATACTACCGGGTATGCGCCACACCTTTTAATGTTTGGTTATGAAAAAAACCGTCATGCTGATCTGGGAGATAATGAGTTTGAGGTCCCGCCCGATGCTAAGCGAAAGGCAAAAGACAGGATGGACATACAGGCATATAAAATGAAAAAACGTTTCGATGAAAAGCACACGCCTACAAAGTCATACAATAAGGGTGATCTTGTATTATGGTCAGGGGCGAAATACAAATCAAAAAGAAGTTAGTAGGAAAGTAGGTTATCAAAAGTTTGGTCGGCCTTATAAAATCAAGAAGGTTTTGGGAAATGATAGATATGAAATAACATCTTTGGAGGGCTTGAAGGGGTATAAGAGATTTAGAGCTATAGTATCTGCGGATAGCTTGAGAGAATGGAAAGGTGGTGTCGTTGATATTAGAGAAAGTGAAAGCGAGGTCAATAGTACAGATGAGCTGATTGATTTGTTTAGAAGGTTAGTCTGTAAGGTATAGATATATTTATATGTCCTCTAATTATCATGTAATAAAACTGGTTACTGGAGTTGCAGTGTTATTGTGAATCAGTGGTAGTGTGGTAACCGAGATCACACTAGATGAAAGGTAGCATACATAACTATATGTGTGGTAACACAGTTCACACTATCGAAGATAGCATGAGTGTGGTAACAAAGTTCACACCAATCTGA